TACTTTGACACAAAGGCCTCTGCTGTGATGCTCACACCTTTGATAAAGTCTCGCAAGTGTCAGCTTTCTTTTTATAGATATAAAAATATAGAAATGTACTGATGCATGATCTGAATTATAATATTTCTGACTGTCTGAGGCAAAATTTCTCCGATTCGAATAGAATAGAATCGTGGATCGAATCAATTCTAGAAATCAGTGATGATAGCCCTAACGAGTCCAGTCGGGGTCAAAGACGGGCAGTACTGGCTCCATGCTGCTATTGTGAGCTGCAGCAGGTCTTCTTCCTCTGCAGGCTGTGATCAGTTGACCTGTTACTGCTCTTTGATTTGATGTAACACAAGCTATCTTGACTGATTTCCTCTGCCTTCATGCACACGCCTCTGCTGCAGAGCTAGCTTGATGCTGAAGCACTGCAACCACCATTTTTGGACATCTACACCAAAATTGCCATTCTGGACCATTGCACCTACTTTAATACCCGAGCATAGCTCCATAAATGATACATCAATGTTATGATTTTGTCTCCTGCATTTCTTTGTAGGCAGTAAACCTCGGTGATGCTAGATATGCAGCTAGCTTGTGTCAACAGGAGACCAAAAGACAGGAGCAGCCCTGAAAGCACAGCTACCACAGTGTTGGCTGCATACAGCCAAGCATCTGTGCAGGCTGTTGGCTGATGTAGCAGACCGAACCAAAGGCCTTATATAGGGGTGTTGAACTCCAGGCCTCGAGGGCCGGTGTCCTGCAGGTTTTAGATCTCATCCTGGGTCAACACGCCTGAATCACATGATGAGTTCATTACCAGGCCTCTGGAGAACTTCAGGACATGTTGAGGAGTCATTTATCCATTTGAATCAGCTGTGTTGGATCATCTAAAGGACACATCTAAGAACTGCAGGACACCGGCCCTCGAGGCCTGGAGTTCGAGACCCCTGCTCCACACAGAAAGGTCCGGCCAGGCGGTGGAATCGAACTCTGTGAGGCAGCAGTGCTAACCACTGCACCACCGTGCTGATGAACGAATGAAAGTAACCTTAGATATCAGCAAAGTGCTACTTATATTCATTCATGAGTCCGTTTGGCATGTGGTCTGTAAACACTGTGACGTGGACGTCCGGTGACACTGTGGGGACGCCTGCAGGAACTTTTGCCCTGTAACAGTAAACAGTCTGCCTTCTTTTACCTGAACAACATTGTCTGAAGGGAAGCTCCCGACTCACAGTGGAGCTGAAAATAATGAAAATATTTCTGACTGATTCCTAATCCTTGTCCTGAAAAGGCTTCACGTGATCCAGGATGCAGCACCAAGAGCTCTGAAGAGAAGTTGTTTCTACACATAGAAAGATTTTTTCATTGGCTTTGAATTGTTCTAAAATTAAAATAACATCTAAAAGAAGAAATAACTGAAATTGAATTGAATTAAAGATGTTGGAGCAGGGACGAATCTGACTAGAACAGTTCCTGTCAGAGCCTGAAACGCTGAAGTAAATTGGCCTAATCTGAAGTGATAAATGAGGGGCGCTGTGCTCTTACAGGAGCTGTGCTGTAAAGACCAGGAGAAGGTGGCTGAGGTGAGCCGGGTGAGGGTGGAGCTGCAGGAGCAGATTGGACGTCTCCAGGCAGAGAGGACGGCTCAGGGAGCACTTAAAGAGAAGATCAACGCTCTGGAGAGAGAGCTTAAAGGTTCGCCGTCCGGTTTTGTTCTGGTTACTTTGAAACTTTACATAAACTTTGCGTCTTTGTGCCACGACTGTCTGGAAGCAACCGTGTGATTTGATTCTGTGCTGCTCTCTTTCATGCTGTTCTCTCTCCGGTTTGCCGTCTTGTAGTGCTGAGTAGTAACCACAGGGAGGCTCTTCTGGACAAAGAGAGCGAGATGTCTTCCATGTTGGAGAAGCTGCGGCTGAAGGAGGCAGAGATCCATAGGATTAGGGAGGATGAGGCCAACAGAGCCAGCTATTTGCAGAGTGCCGTCCTCTCGTACATCCACGGTTCTCCTCTGGGACACCACAGCAGCCTCCAGAAATGAGCCAGCAGGGCCTCTCGCAGGGGTCCCGCAATGGGCAGGACATCTACTGGGCAATATAAGGCATAGCTCCACAGAGCTGAAGAATATTCTGACGTGGACGATCAGTGCTTGGCAATATGAGCATCTGATAAATAATAACCATTCCTAACATAATGTTAAAAAATGACAAATCTCATCAGGACGTGCTGGGTTCAATGGTGTGCTACTTTCTTTTTTTATTGCTACTTTTAATAAATACACAGCGCACTTTTTAGTGCCAACACTTTCCACTTGTGTGAAATGAGTGAGTGTAGTAGAAACAACGAGGTTTTCAAATGATGAAAAATAAGAATCAGCTGTGCATTTGTAAAAGGAACTTTGGCTTCACTGAATGATGGAGCGAATGGATTTACAGTGGCTGAGGGGAAGAAGAGAGAGCTGTCTGAATAAATACTGATTTCAGAAACTCCTAACAGTCCAGAGGCTGCAAGGCAGCCATCACACATCTGCAGATGTTTCACAGTCACACAGCTGTTCTCACACATCCAGGACATGGTGACTGTGACCTTCCACATGTGAAGGTCAACGCTGCTGAAAGAGTCCTGTGATCAGAACCTGGTCTTGTGTCATAAATGTCCATTTTTATGTCCTTAGCTCACACAGTACATGTGATAAACTGTACTTAGCTTTTACTGCAAGCGAGCGTCATTTCTGCCACATTTCTCCAGTTTGAGTAAACGTACGTGTTTACAGTCAACATGATATTTGGTTCAGATATGCCTTAATATTGTATACTAGACACTGATGCAAAGCAGGACACCTGCTGTTTTTACATTTTATAATGAAAGTCCAAATAAAGCTGTTCTGTTTCAGGTCTGCTATCAGCGACAAACCAGCATTGCGTTGTTTTGTGTTGATGCATCGTGATTCTGTGGTTGATCTGGATTATTCTAACAGATAAGGTTACAGTAGTGATAGTGATGGTGTGGCGTGTTGTTGGGGTGGGGATGTATGAGGTCACTAGTGTTGAAACTGCAGCCAAAGATCATTAACTGCCGAGATGGTTCAGGCACAAGCTTGTGGAGCTTTAACGTAAAACTGCTGCGCTGCTGAAATTCATATCCAGGGGATCGTTTAAGATTTATTTTTAATGCGTTGAAACTTTCATCAATTGAAAGTTTCCACTTGTACAAGACAAATTTCTTTTAAATCGAGTATATCGAATATGATCAATTCTAAACGTTTCCACAATCTGGCGATTAAGTACGTTTCCGGTCTGCGTTTCTAAATATTTATGAAGGCAGCGGACACACATTTCACGAGGCTTAGCTCAGGATTGTCCTACGGGGTTGGGTTAAATTTCTTTTTTTTGTGTTCCGTGACTTGCCCTGTACTAGCTGTCTTTATAACTTAACGTTGTTGATGTAACGTAAGTAGCATAGCTGCTAGCATGTAGCGATGGCGGAAGTGATCGGAGCGAACCATCTCTTCGTCTACTGGCGTTCTTCTGTTCCACCTCTGTCCCTTTAAGAACGCTCGGCACTTCTCGGAGACTGTCGTAACTGCTCGTCATCGACCCTTTTCACTGCGGCTCCATCGCTGAGCGGACTGGCCCGCTGTTCTCGTGCGAGACCTCAGCGCTTACTGTCGGATCGGTGAACTCCCAGCGCCGGCTCCCTGAAAGCCTCCAGCTGCTGTCCAAATGCAGGCGATTAAGTGTGTGGTGGTCGGCGACGGGTAAGAGCACGCTCACAGAAACGGCACATTTGTCATGTGGGGCTCAGTGATGCATCCACTGATGGATGGATGATGGGAGGATGCTATGTAGTGAAAAGGGGCTGGGGCTCGGCGATCCGTCGGTCGCCTGTCTTTCTCAGATACAGCTCCACGGGCATCTGCGTGTGATCACGTCTTCATCCAAAGGCAGGAGCGGAGCATCGAGATGCTGCGGGAACACCTACACGCCTGGTAGGCCATTGAAGGCGGGCTGAAGTGCTGATGCACGCTAAGGAATTTGTGGCCCTGTCAGTGGCAAGCAGCAGGCCCCGCTGCCCTAATTCTGCTCCTACTGCATCCAGATCCCACCCAGCGGCATGTGCACTGAAGTCTGCTGCGAGAGTGCGCCGCGCCGTTTGGAAACGCTAATATGATTAGTGGCCGCTGATTAAAGCCGCCGGCACTCATATCAGTTCTTACAAACATCAGGAGCTGCCAAAGGTCTTTTTATCATCAAAGGCAAAATGGGGAAATAAAAGAATGCAAATGTTCAATGTCAGCGCTGCTGTCTGCACACACCGTGTTTACAGCACGGTGTGTGCAGACACACGGGAGCAGTCCAACCTACAAGCTCACTTTACCTTTCAAGTCCTCGCCTGCCTCCAGAGGGAGCTGGGGCCGCTCGGTCACTGCAGGAGTCCTAGTCTCACTTATTATTGCTCATTACTGAGATCACGCTTCTTTAACACACATTCAGCAACTTTTAAAACATCGTCCAGTTGCTGAATTTTTAACCTCGAGGGCTTAGCCGAAATAAGCCGGATATTTCCGAACAGCTGCACTGGTTTTATGGCTCTTTCTGACCAGATCTGAGCTAAATGTGCCACAGCCTGCACAAGTGTGAGTCTTTGACTTGTAGAGAAACAGGCTGTCTTGGATTTGTAGCAAAAGTTTAAAAAAAAATGCAGCAACATTATATAAATGTCATTTAAAAATTCTTTAAATAGTCTTTTTTTCACTTTAGAAGCACAGACTGTAAGTAAAGATGGCAGTAGCTTCTGGGTGTGAAAAGCAATGGCACCTTAGAGATGCATTACTTCTAATGGCCACCAGGACAAGACCTCCAGTTTCACCCAAGTCTGTGGAAATGATGCTCAGCAGTTTAATCTAGTCTCACCTCACAGGTGTCAAGTTATACTGATGACATCACAAAGCCCAACGCAGTCACCAGGTAGAATACACCTGTGTCTGCTACTGAGCCGCCGTGCCCGGCTAATGTGAGGAATCAAAGAGCTACAGCGTGACCGTGACAGGTTGAGCGTTCGCAATCAAAGCGTGACCCCGCGGTGGATACTTGCATCTTTGTGATGCATCCACTGACTTTAAACGTCACACAGCCCTGACAGTGTCGCTGAGATCCCCGCAGGGCTCAGAAAGCTGTTTCTAACGGGAACCTGCTGTTTTGTGCGATGAGGCTGTTTACGAGGTGGGCGGGATATAAAAATGTGTGTTTTTCTCGTCAGCTGCCACAAACAGCTTTAATCCAGACTGTACAGATGCTGCTAGCTGTGCGTTTGGTGTCTTCAGAACGTGAACAGATTGTTACCTGATGCCGTTCACGTCATTTGACCCACGCTGACAGTAGCACGCAGGGACGTAATGAAGTGAACGACAGCAGGTTTGCTGCTTCAGTGTCGGGGTCAGAGCAGGGATGTGGCGTTACCAGCACCTGTGCATTCACTGCTGTGCATCTGAACGTGTAGCACTGTGTGTGTTTGTGTAACAGCATCTCTGTTTCCCTGCAGTTGTTTCAACTTCCTGTTCCTGTGGATCTGTTTGGAGACGTTTAAACTCACTCATGTGTGACCTTTTTGCAGGGTTTTTCCTTGTTTTGTTGTGTTTTGGTGCTACATAAATAAAACTGAATTGACGTTGAAGCGTGCACATCTTACAGCTTCAGTTTGTGCGACGCAGAGCAAACCTGAACCGTTTGTGTGTTTTGAGTGAAACAGGTGTGATTGAGAGACGTACTGTGTGAGTCCAGAGGTCTGCAAGTGAAAGCAAAGGCTTTGCATATTTTCCAGGAGACGGGTTCTGCTTGACATCTCCACCTCAGTGGGTGTCACGGTGGTACAGTGGTCAGCACTGCTGCCTCACAGCAACAAAGTCCTGGTTTTGAACTTCGCATGTTGTTCCTGCATGCTTTCTCTCCTGTACAGCGGGTAGTTATTCTGAAGCATCATTTCATTTTCACTTGAAGGACCTAAAATCTGCTTGTATATCAAAGCCACGTCTGATTTTTTTAAAAAGAACTGCGGGGCCTGAGCTTACCCTTTGATGGACTCTTTTCTAACCCTGGCCATGTTGGTCCCTCTAGCATTTTAGCATCTTCAGCCCTAACTACCAAACCATCATAGCAGATCTCACTGTAGCTGTAATTCCTTATTTATACACTTCTCTTGTATCTGTGACACAGTCACATAGATCTTTGGGTTTTGTGTGCTGCCCAAGGACAGCCTGGATGAGCTGGGGATCACACACCAGTGTTTAGATCAGTGGATGAGCCGCTCGATCTTCTGAAGAATAGTCGTAATCATTGAAACTGACTAATGAAGCAGCTGTAAGTGTCAGTGTTTCCCTTCTGACCAAACAGACCCACTGACCTCAAACCACTCTCATATCAGTCACACATTTTGCCACCGTGTGTCACTGCTGTTGGTCATGTCTGTGGAGACGAGCACACAGAATCGCTCATGAGTCATGCATGAGCAGCCAGCCAATACTCATCCACGCCGCCACCAGTAGCATCGAGTGGCTCGAGTCGGAGGGGAGGGTGCTGTGGGCCTGTGAGCAGAGGGGAGGTGGGCTGTGTGTGCGAGTAACTGTGTGGACAGGTATGAACATCTTTGTGGGGACCAAAAAGTGGAAGCTTACTATACTCGCTTACTTTCTTCTCTCACCCCAACCAATCACAGCAGATGGCCCCGCCCCTCCCTGAGCCTGGTTCTGCCGGAGGTTTCTTCCTGTAGCATCGAGTGGCTCGAGTCGGAGGGAGGGGTGCTGTGGGCCTGTGAGCAGAGGGGAGGTGGGCTGTGTGTGCGAGTAACTGTGTGGACAGGTATGAACGTCTTTGTGGGGACCAAAAATTGGAAGCTTACTATACTTGTGGGGACCAAAATCCTGGTCCCTACGAGGTGGAAGGCATTTTTGAGACTCAAAATGTGGTTTTACTCGTGCTGTTCTAGTGTCAGGGTTACCATTAGGTTAGGGTTAGGGTTAGCCATTCATCTTTGATGGTTGCATCATGTCCATGAGATGTCCCCACAAGGATATAAAAGTGTGTATGTGTGTGTGTGTGTGTGTGCGTGGCTACCATAGAAGGCTACTGTGTCCCTAGGCAACATGTATGTAGGCCAGTGTGTGTGTGGCACTCAGCTGAAAGGGGATAGAGGCCTCATTGTGCTCACACATACATGTGGCCTGTTTACGCTCAGGTTTGTATGAGAGTGGAGCTGCAGCCTAATTCTGGATCCTCTGCTGTCACTTCCTCAGGGCTGTGGGTAAGACCTGTCTGCTGATTAGTTACACCACCAATGCCTTCCCCGGTGAATACATCCCCACTGTGTGAGTAACCCCAACACTCCTCATGCTCTCACCACACCACCATCGAACGCTGTAGGGCTGAGCGCTCTGTCAGAGACACTGTGCTGTCTAAAGGTTTCAGGGTTTAATAATAATTATAATAATAATACAGCTGCTCTCCTACAAGACCTTAGTTGACAATAAAGAGACGAATGAATGTCGAATCAGATTAAATAAAAGATATCGCTCATTCAACGAGCTGTGGATGTGCTGCACAGTTCTGCACACTGAGAAACTATACGTGCTTATCAATGGATGATAGTTGTAGTATTTACATATTTAATATTGCAAATCAAACAGACTGATGTTATGTAAACTCCTTAATGCTTTTTTAACTTTTTAAATTTTAAGCTGTTAAGATATTTTGGTGTTTATCAGCTACGTCGTGACACAAATGTTACATTTTTAAACCAGCATAACAAAATAATCATGACGACTGTGCCAAGCCCAGAAAAGTTCCTTAAATCCTGTTTTTCAAATATCTGCATCAGTCGTGTTAAACTGAGCCAACTGGCTCTTTAGTGTGAACAGCATCCATCCCATAGGTTGGAAACCAGTTCATATCAAATTAGAGTTAGTGGAATAATTCAGTTTCAAAGTGCTGGACCCACCTGATACCTGAGAGCCCAGTGAGCACTGGGCTGAATGAGGAGCTCCCAGTTCAGCTCAGGACTGTTTGCTGTCCCTTAAATTTCATTCTCTCCTTTAAAAGCTTTTATCAAATATAGTCATGCAACACCAAAAAGTAGACTTGGAGGAGAAAAAGCTTCCTTAAATATTTACCAACCCTTATCTACGCAGTCATGTAGTTCTGTTGTTTAGGAGTAATCACACTACTCTGTCAGTAGTCTCAGCTGCTTTTTACTCAGTGTGCTGTCCAACTTCCTGCAGCTTTGACAACTACTCTGCCAACGTGATGGTGGATGGGAAACCAGTGAATCTGGGTCTGTGGGATACAGCAGGACAGGAGGACTACGACAGGCTCAGACCACTGTCTTACCCACAGACGGTACTCCTACTCTTTCCTCCCACACTCACAGCACGCCGCAGATACGTGACTGAACCGAGCTCTCTGTTGTGTGACCTGTTTAGATGAGCGAGTAAGGGAAGGTGGTTAATGCACGAAGGATGCTGCAATGCTTTGTAGACCCCAACGTTTATCAGTTTATTCATTTAATATGAAAACTGTTTGCCTTAAATTACAAATGATTTAAGTCCAAACTGCACTCACCAGTTCAGATGGTTATGTTCAGATGTACACGGTGTGAGGAAAAGGCTGTTCTCCCATTCAAGATTAGCAGCTGCTTCCCTTCCCCGTCTGCAGTGCATGCTGGAACTCTGGCAGTCCGTCATCTTGATTGTTGTGGCAGGTTATCCAGTTAGTGAGCAAAGAAACGCCACCATTTTCACTGCGTTGTGCACGGGCACAGGGTAGATCTGCTCCCCCAGACACCCCAGGGTGTATGAGCGAGCTCCTTCAGCATGCAGCGGCTTTAAAGCTGCTGACTCTGTAAGTGCAAACTGCCAGCTCTCATCAACAACGGCAGTCCTTCACATGAAATTCAGGTTAGTTTGAAGAAGAATTGGATTTGAAGTCTGATGAAGCCTGTGCAGTGTGGGCACAACAGAACTTCTGGAGCGATCCAGAAATAGCAGGTGGAAGCTGCCTGGAAACGGCCAGAAGGATGATCTGGGAGGCGATTATGCACCGAGGCACTGAGTCAAACAGGGATTTTCACTTTCATATCTCTGTCCGCGTGAAATGCTAAAAATGATGTCAAACACTGTGATGCCGAGAAAACAGGCGGAGAAACGTTGGTCAGCACGGTCTGACATCAAAACAGGAGATAACGGCGCACGCCTTTGATGTCCAAGAGGAAATCAACATTTTCCTTCACTAAGTGCACGAGCAGAACATGGTTCCTGAAAGCGTTCAGCCTGGGCTTTAAGAAGCCGTGTTTTTATAAAAATGGGGATTTACTTGTGTATGAAAAACACTGAAAAACAGCCTGAACACTGAGGAAAAGCTACAGTTACCAAAGTAGCGCACGTGTGGGCGGGGCTCCGGTTCAAGGGAAGGTTTTCATGCACAGCGCTCCCTCGCTATAACGCGGTTCACCTATCATGGCCTCGCTGTTTCAGTTTGTTTTTGTTTTTTTTGTGCAATTTTGCTTTTTTAATTTTTTTTTTTTTTTCCGGGGCTTGTGTTCTGTGTCCTGATTGGCTGTAGACCACTGTCAATCAGTCTCGTGCTGTGTCTGCACGATCTGATTTCCTCGTGTTGGTGTTGTTCCCAGATCATCATACTAAAGGTTGTTCCAGGATCAACATTGCAAGTGACCAATCAGAATGTTGTGATGTCATACTTTTGCGACTTCGGGAAAAACCGGCGTAAAACAAAAAACTGTACTTAAGCTGCGAGAAACCGCCTTTGTCCGCCGATCAACGGACCCTAACCCTAATCCTGACCCTAACCGTAACCCTTTAATAAACGCTAAGCAGAATTGATATTGTCCTTGCAACATTGGAATTTCATAAATGCACGAATGGGTTGGTGCGCAAAAGAATAACGTCACAATAATGTGATTGGTCACTTGCGATGTTGAACCTGGAACAACATTTTCATGATGATGTGGGAACAACACCAACACGACGACATCAGATCATCCGCCGTGTCTCCTGTCCAGGACAGAGTGCGTTCAGCTTGTCAAAGTTACATAAATCTTCGATCCCAGCAGTGTGGCTCTGCTGCACTGTATGTTTGTACGTTTTCTCCCCAACAAACACAACGATGTCAATGAAACGTCGTCACCTGCGCGTCTTTGGTTTCATCCTATAATACTGGACTTGAGTTTAAACAAGAGAGAAACGTGTGAAGATGTTCACGCCTGTCTGAGTGTATAAAGTGTGCAGTTACAGCCTTAACATTAATCTGTAATAACTGTAAGAAATGAAGCTGCCTACTTCGTAGATTTCACCTATCACGGGTTATTTTTAGAACGTACCTCCCGCGATAAACGAGGGAGCGCTGTGTATATTTGCCCACTGTGTTGATAACCACTTCTTGTGTAGATAAGTACCAAACATTCATCCACTGTCTTATCCGGTTTAGGCTTGCAGTGGTCGCAGCCTATCCCTGCTGCCATAAGGCGAGAGGCGGAGTCTGTCCTGGACGTCCTCGGTCTATTAAAATGTCTTTGAACAAACAATATGAAGCAGAACCACGCCTCTCTGAGCCCGTTGTGTTGTGACTTTTAATAAGTGTCGAAGACTTCAAATAAAGCTGATTTCTTGTGGTGGTTTTACACTCACACACACTCACACACTCACACACTCACACACACACACACACACACACACACACACACACACACACACACACTGATCTCACTCTCAACTAGCGATGTCTCTGGTTCTCTCCCAGGATGTGTTCTTGATATGCTTCTCCCTGGTCAGTCCGGCCTCCTTTGAGAACGTCCGAGCTAAGGTCAGTACGCTGACCGTCCACCCCGCCCCCTCCTTTCCCCCCTTTCACGCCGAGTCTGACCACAAGGAGGCACATCTTTGGCTCCACCTGGTTTATCTCACCTGCTCAGTCCTCAGCTTACAATGGTCTGGATTTGATGTTACTCCAGCAGGACGTGGAGCGCAGACACACGTTGTAGGCTGAGGCCTGAGCGAGTGCAAACACTCTGCAGAGGGAGCGGCCGGCTGTGGTTTGATCTGCTGAGCATCATGAGACGCTCTCGTGTGAAACCACACTTTTCACGAGGTCGGGTCCCTCTGTAGAGTCTGTGTTTCCGACGGGATTGTCCCATCGTGTGATGTGATTGGAGGTTTCTTTGCCTGAGGATGTCTTGTGTTCATGCAGCTATGCCTTCATTCAAACTTAATAACAATGTTTTCTGTAGCCACAACTCAGTTTGTTGTCACTGTGGAAAGGCTCATGATGTTCTTCCACCGCCTCCAGCTGACTCTTCTCTTTCTCCTCTCTCACTGACTTTGTCTTTTGTATATCCATATGTACACATCTGTGTGTGGTTGTGTGTGGTGCCCTAGTGGTACCCTGAGGTGAGACACCATTGCCCCAACACACCCATCATTCTGGTGGGCACCAAGCTGGATCTACGAGATGACAAGGACACCATTGAGAGGCTGCGGGACAAGAAGCTGTCCCCCATCACCTACCCGCAGGGCCTGGCCATGGCGAGAGAGATTGGTGAGGCTGTAACGGCATCGTTTTTTCTTTAATTTAGCTTTACATAATGATTGTTGTTTGTCTGTTGTCTCAGTAAGTCACATATTAAATTGGATACCAGTGACAGTTGATCCAAAGAAAAGTGTGTATACAGTTTTCTGGGTTGAGGGAACTAAGTAGAATATTGGTTAGTCAGAGGTGGGATAACCAGGCACATTTACTCACTTATGTAGGTGTAAACTCAGTTTTAGTTGCTAATTAATTCAATTTTATTTACCAAATCACAACAAAAGTCGCCTCAAGGCTTTTAAAATGAGTTTCCTGCCCTTCCTGCACGGTGACAAACTGAAACCAGCTGTTTATGGACGAGTAGCTTCTACTTCTCAGCACACTTACATGTGATTCTTGAATAAACTTCGACTGATCATTCTTGCTCTTACTGAGGTTTTCAAATGCACAAGCTTTCCCTGTAGTAAAGTATTGTTACAATGTAGTATAAGTACTTTTTACTTATGTATGCTTTTCTACAAACGAGGTCACCAAAGCCCTTTTCCGGAGTGACTCGGCGGTTTTCAGGCTTTCCCATTAGGCCATAGTTCCTGGTACCAGTCTTTAGCACCTGCTTGGATTTCAAGCGATCCAAACAGGTACTAAATGTGACGTCATCAGACTGTATGCCACTGATTGGCTGGCCGTAGCGTTCACGAAAGTCCAAATCGCCATTTTTGAAACTGTAACGAGGGAAATGGCTACAAAAACAACGCAGTGATCTCTGTGTGACGGAAAGCCACGGACCGAGTAGCAGGCATGTGTTTGCTTCGACGTCCACCTTTGTTGTGGCGTTCGTGTCGCATATTAATTACGTCTCGAGACGCGCAGACGCGTTGCTATGACGACAAGGTACGACAGCGTTCTAATGGAAGACCAGTCGAGTAGGCGGGAAAGGGGCTCGTGTGACACAGTGGACAGAAACACGCTTTACAAAGTCGATTCCTAAAAAGCTGTGAAAATAAAAACAGGCTGCGTAGATTTAAAGATCTCATGAATTCATATTTTACTGATAATAGAACATAAAAAACGTTTAAACCGGACAAATGTCACATTTTAAGAGAAATAAGAGCTCGTTATTCACTGCAGAGCAGTAACATGTTCACAGCTGCTGCTGGTGCTCAGCAGAACTTCATTCAGACTGAAAGCACGAACGAAAAATACTTTTACCAACTTTTTTTAACCTCACTCACTAATTAATGCATAACGCTGTTTGTTCTGTGTACACACACAGATGTGGAGAGGGTGTGCTCAGCCCCCCCTGTACATAAACATGTCCATTAGTTTGGGTTAGAGCTGCTTTGAGTTCAGCCTCTAAACTGAGGAACATCCAGCCTCAGAGTGCTGAAACAGCCCACACCCTGACGAGCAGAAGCATGAAGGCGTAATCGGAGGATGATGTTTGTGTAAGTGAGGAACCATGAATTAAACACAGTTCCAGCTGTCAATGAAACATCCTTCTATAAACCTTTGAAGCTTATTAACTTTCCAACATGACTGTTAAAGAGGATTTAGAAATCATGACCACAGTGACTGTGAGGAAACAGTGACCAGATATCTGCTGGGGGATGTTGTTGTTGCTGTTAGAATGGGAGTCACAAGGAGTCGACTCGATCTGCTGTCAGTGCACTATAAGTAACTTCCACATGTGCCTTTTTGTCCTGACCTCCTCTCAATACTCACTGGTATCCATCTCACCAGTTCAAGAGCCAATTTACAGTAACTGTCAACCCAAATCAATTCATATTGTAGGATAAAGACCCACGAATGTCAGTTAGGGACCGAGCTACCTGCAGACCTCTGCTGGTGTCAGGATTGCTGGGAAAGGCAATGTTAGCCTATAAATGCTGTGGGCACATGAATCGTATGAACAGCTGGAGAAAGATACCACGTTTGTAGTTTTCTGCTTGTCACATGAAGATTATTTGCTCCATTGTTGTAGTCCCACTAAGGAGATGATCCAGTGTTACTCCGGCCTTTGTAAAGGCTTTCAACAATCTTATAATCTGAAAGCAGCCGATGATGTAGTAAACCTTTAATTCACTTTGACCAATTCAAATATGGCTGATTATTGTATATCAGTTATGAAATCATTGTATGTCGGTATGTATATAATTATTAAAAGCTGTGATAAGAAGCAGATGTTTATACAGCAGCATAATATTCAAGGAGCTGTTCCAACATGCCAACATGTTGATGATTGTTATGATTGTGTAATCCTGATTCATACATGTGGTTGCATGACTGTTGTTATGCAGCATCATTGTTTTTATGAATGATCTGTGCCACTTTGATTATTTGCTTTTTTTAATGAAGGATGTTTCAGTGCATCCTCCAGTGGATACTGAAGGAAGCACTGACGCCCTTTCCTTAGTTTATTCATTTAGAAACTGGTCTTATCACAGCTTTAGTGCAGGGACCAACTCGTTTAGAAAAGTCATTTTTAACTCCAATTTAAAAAAAATCATTTTAAAAACAACAAAATGCAATGATTTGCAAATCTCATAAATCCCTATTTTATTCACAATCGAACACAGAAAACCTGGTAAATCTTTAAACTCTTCATTTTGAACTATTTCACAAAGAATCTTGACTCATTTTGAGTCTGATGACAGCAAATGTTTCAAAAAGGTTGGGACAGGCGCAACAACAGGCTGGAAACTCAGTGGTCCTAAAAAGAACAATGGGGGAACAATTTCAATTCAGTTTAATTGTATTTAGACCGCTCCAAATCACAACAACAGTGACCTCAAGGTGCTTTATATTGTAAGGTCGACCCTACAATAAACCCAACAGTCATATGACCCCCTATGAGCAGCACTTTGGCGACCGTGGGAAGGAAAAACTCCCTTTTAACAGGAAGAAACCTCCAGCAGAACCAGGCTCAGGGAGGGGCGGGGCCATCTGCTGCTGCGTTTTTATAACTAATAATAATTATAACTAATCAGTTTAAATGACAACAGGTCAGTAACATGTCTGGGTATAAAAAGAGTTCCTCAGAAGTAGGCGGGACCAAACTGTGTCTACAAATCATGGACCAATGTCAGCACACTATTCAGAAAGAGATGGACAAGAAGAGCTGCTCGAGGCAAGTGTTGTTGTGATTTCTCTCGATATAACTCAAACTGAAGATCCAGGACTGCGGAGCTAGTCCTGTCAGACCAGAACGGGACAAAACTCCACAGCTGCTCTCCTGTTTCCAGATGTTAGAGAAAGATACTACAAAGATGGAAACATGCTCCTGTCACAACCTTTTGGAGATGTTCTATTGTGAATAAAGTATTGGTTTATGAGATTTGTAAATCACTTTGTTTTGTTACTCAGCTTCCCAGTAGTTGAACTGTGGCTGTGTTGAGCAGTGGGTAGAGACAGCGTGTCATCTTTAAACAGTGTTTAAAAACAAGATTAAACTATTTCATTTAAAATAAAACATTATTAGTAAATATTTATATTGTGATTTGAATTGCACTCGCCTTGTGTCAAGGAGGGAAAGACGATCACGCACCTTCTGTAACAGTTGCAGGGGTCTCAAACTCGCGGCCTGGGGGCCACTCGCACAAACTCTGTCACTTGTATTTTGTTAAATACGAACGTGTGTGACAGAGAGGACCAGTGTGTTTATTTGCTCTTTCAACGAAACCATTCAGTTAGTCAGTTATTGCTAAATAATATTTCCATCCATTTTCTTCTGCCGGGTCGCGGGGGCAGCAGCCCGAGCAGAGAAGCCCAGACCGCCCCAGCCCCAGCCACCTCCTCCAGCTTATCCGGGGGGACACTGAGGCGTTCCCGGGCCAGCCGAGAGACATAATCTCTCCAGCGTGTCCTGGGTCTGCCCCGGGGCCTAGATGATATTTGAAATTAAAAAAAGCAAACAAAACATTTTCAGAATTTTGTTTTTTGTATTAATTGAACACAAAAGTATCCTTCAGACGACAGCAGTGGCCCTCAGCTCCAGTGTGAGACCCCTGCTTTATTCATACTCAGTATGTGCATGGACCGTTATCTGTGGGGCCCTTTGAGTGCTGGGTGCTCTGTTGGGTAATGTCGCTGGGCGTATCCTCGTGTGTCCTCAGGAGCCGTGAAGTACTTGGAGTGCTCCGCGTTGACCCAGCGAGGCCTGAAGACGGTATTCGACGAGGCCATCCGAGCTGTGCTCTGCCCCCCACCCGTGAAGAAGAGGGGGAAGAGATGCACCATGTTCTAAGGAGGAAGCACTGCTAACACTACACCACATCACCATGAACAACAACCACTACTTCTCTGAGAGGATGAGAAAGAAAACTAGCGAGAGTGAGTGTGCACTGCTGAGATTGCTTTCTTTATATTGATGTTTTTTCAAAGTCATATTGGTAGGACCAATATTTAACCCAGTTTTTTTAACCATTACAGAGTAAGGTCATAGGTTCTCTGTGAAAGACGATGACTGTCCTTTGTACTCATAGACACGTGTCATGTTGCCACGAGGGCTCACAAAGACTTCTAGATCTTCTTACTGCAAACTCTTTTGTTCCTATGCTTGCTTGAAATAATGCAGTGTTGACTAGATAGAACATGAACTGTGAATACGCCTTCAGCTCCGAAGTTACCCTCAGCTTCTGATCTAGGATCAGCACATTAAAAGAAATACTGCCTTCATTCGTTCAGCCCTCATTTCTGACAGCATGCACAGCGAGCTCACCCCTGACATCTGGTCACATGACAGAAACACCAGCAGTTAGACTCTCTGACAGCTCGGTTCACTGGTTCCTGATTGGCATTTGATTATTCCCGATCCAAACCATCCATCCATCCGCTTCCGCTTCTCCTTTTCAGGGTCGCGGGGGGCGCTGGAGCCTATCCCAGCTGTCATAGGGCGAGAGGCGGGGCCTACACACAGGGACAGACAACCATTCACTTGCACATTCACACCTAATGGCAATTTGGATTATCCAATTAACCTATCCCCACAAGCTGCATGTCTTTGGACGGTGGGAGGAAGCCGGAGTACCCGGAGAGAACCGCAAACACGGGGAGAACATGCAAACTCCACACAGAAAGACCTGATGTTGGAATTGAACTCAGGACCTTCTTGCTGTGCGGCAACAGTGCTAACCACCGTGCCACCGTGCTGCCTCCCAATCCAAACCAAGTTCTTTAAAATGGCAAAGTATTCAAGTTTGCTCTAAACTGCCAGATCAGTGTCTCATTACTAAACAGCACATTGGAGAAAGGTCGTACGGCCCGAGATGCTCCCTGTAGTTCCTAACGAGCACAGTGACTGTAACGATGGTCTAACTGCTGGTATCTATTCCTCTCAGTAACTTGTCGAGTTCGGACAGATTTCCTGCCAAACGATCACATCAGCGCTGCAGCATAAACATGTAACCATGAACTCATCCTCTCGGTTTCGTCTCCGTAAAGCCACAGATTCATAATCGTAGCCCCGTGTCATCGTTCTTAACTTTCCAATGAGAAAAAAGAGATTTTCAGTGAGACACAAAGGTTTAACTGGAGGTTTCAGTCAAAAAGAGTTCATAACTGTACTTTAGAGGTCGACCTGCAAACCTTTCGCTCGCTTTCAGAAGCATCCTCTGATCAGTTGAAGAGTTATTTGGCCCCTGCAGCGTGTTCTTGCTTCAGTCGCCTGATCTTGGTCAATTTCTTTGGGTAACTATTCTTAACTGTGAAGATGTGACAGACGAGCTTGCCAAACACACGGGGGCTGTACAACCTTGCTGCCTGAGTTCTGCCTGTGGGAGTGGAGGAGCTTGCATGGGTCTTAAAATATTCTGTCTTAATTTATCCCATTGTTTAGACTCTGTGTGTGTGTTTGTGCGCAAGCACATGAATGCGTGCGTGACAGGTGTGTTTGCGTGCGTGCACGGTGGGCGGGCATGTGTCGGTGTCGGTGAGACGGTTCGGGGTAGTGCATAAGAGACAGTATTGTTTTAAGCCAAGTTTTTTAGTGTCCAGTTTTTGGTACTATTTCATATTGTATTGTAGTAAAACACGAGACTTTTCAACAATCTGTGACGTAAAGGAAGGAAAACACACGAATATCAGTGACATCCAGTCATGTACAGAATAATCCTCAGAAAAGGAATGCGTTATGAATATCTACATGTACCTGAATATTTAGCTCGTAAAACGAAAACAACTCAAACTAAAGGGATTATAGTCGCTCATGTCCAAGTTAGAAGTGTCGCTAACAGTGTACAGTAAAGGGGCCAATCGTCGTGGGGTTTGTCGCCGTGGCAAACAGTGCAGATTGCACCTTTATGAAATGCATTTCTGTATGGTCCTGCTGTGTGTCTGTCTCCCCCGTGTGGCGAGACGCAGCACTGCAGTGCGCTCCGCTGTCTTTGGTTGGCATAGCTGTGTGGTTGAATCATGTCGTGTGGTCCTGCCTAGCTAAGGTGTCGAAACGTAGCTGAGAAACAGCAAAAGAAAAAAAAAACTACTACTATTGCATGGATCTGGTTCTTTGACCCGCTGTAACTCTTAGGAGAGGTTGTATGATGAAATGCATTGGCCATGTACGTATGTAATGTAAGATGACTTGTATACTTGTTTCAACTGTTTGTCTTATTTTTTATTACTTCACATGTCTGTGTGGTGACATATTTCAATTTTTTGTATACTAAATACAAATGTATATGTAAGGTAGTCTGCTTCCTGTCGTCATTTCCTCCTCACACAGCGACGCGTTCCCTCGTGTTCATATCCAAATGTGCTTCGTGGACCAACACTGTGAGGAAAACTAGTGGCTGCACGACTCCTGTTTTTACAGGTTTATTTAGATATTAACAGAATACAGAAGACTTTTGGACCTTTAGTTGTTTACATTTATCAAAGTGACCAAATGAATCATTCTGACTGTAGATGATGATGATGATGATGATGATGGCTCTTATTCAGCTTCATCAGCAGGCTCTCCAGCACACGTCCAGGCTTCAGTTCTTCTTTGCTATTCTTTACTGCAGCACTGAAACAACTACAAGAGCCTGCAGTGCGTCAATGTTTGAGTTCATTTAAGAACCAATTTAATAACCAGAACCGGTGTTGTGCCAAAAACTGATTTCCAATGTTTCTGTGTATTTTTTATGTGTAATATCTTTACGTATGTTCGTAAATA